TTTATTTTCTTAAATGAGCATAACACTTGAACACACAGGAACACTTGAATCGCCATCAGACGTACAAAATGGCATCCTTAAAATAGTGAATACTGCTTTTTGATATATTTTTTACTACTTGGTAATCGAAGACGATTTACATGAAGAACACGTTTCTGATAGACCTTGTGTTTTCCGCAATTTGTGTTCAGCCATTAACGTCTCCGATTTCTGTCTCGAAGTATTGAATTTTTGACGTACGACAGACTTTACTCTTGGTACTATCTGATGGAGCTATTCTTTTGTTCATATAATGTCGGTTTGCATATTTATAGGACCTTTCATATACTTCATTTTGTTTGAAATATTAAAAATTAATGTATGGAAAATGTATTTTACATTTAATAATAATAAACAATATGTAACTGTAATGTAATGCATAGTAATAATGAACTTTGTTTTGTGTCATTTCCATTATTTTAAAATGCATCACCGCAATTATTATATGTATTACCTACACTGTGTACGTACAGTTTTGAGTTTTAATACGTTACTTTCCTAACCTATTACTTGCTCAAAAGACATAACACATGACAGATGTTCCCAACACCCACTTTGTTCTGTCATAAGGTGACATAAGGATATTATAAATACATTATAATATAAATTTGATCGAATCAGCAATACTGAAGCTACTAAATACTAGATAGCAATTTTTTTCCGGTTAATATGTTATGGAGTTATATGATGTTATATGAGTTCTAACTACTGGCAAATTTTCTACTTAAAGATCTTAAAATTACGGCTAAAAAACCAGAAAAACAAAAAAACTTGCAGGGGATGGGAAATGGGTATAATTTAAATTTGATACAACTGACGTGTGCAAGGATACTAAATAAATATTCCTTATAAATTTCAACTCGATCTAACAATTTTTTTGCAAAATTATAGTCAGTAAAAGTTAAAACTTTAAAATTCGAATAGTTTTTTTTGGTTTTCAAAATATTGAGGGTGAAGAAATTTTTTTTTTCAACTTTTATCCACCTTATAGTAACAACTAGATGCAATTTGTGATTTATAGAGTTGTTACTCGAAGGGGTTGGTTCAGTATTAAAAAAAGTTACAGTGTATACAGAAACAAAAAAGCCCACATCATGGTAAACCCAATAGCATCTCTGATTTGTATCAAAGCTAAAAGGCGTATACCCATTACCCAGGAATTTATTTACCAATACACCATAGTATACATAGTTATTTACAGTTATGTAGCTTTCGTTTTAAGGGTGACGATTTAGTTCAAAACCACACTTTTAACTTTGCGAGGAGTTATTCTTGGTGTTGTAAGTATCTAAATTACTTAATACAAACTATGGTTCATACAGATTCATCATTTTCTAATCTTAGTAGCTTTACAGACTAACATTTTATATTTTTATTACACAAATTTAAAATATTTCATTATGTTTCAATTGACTATTATAGTTAAACTTTTAACTCAATTTGTATAAAAACTATAATTTGATGGGCACTAATATCAAATGTTATTACAGAACGGATTTCAACTTGTTTTATATTTCTTTCAGAGCATGTTTAAAAGATCTACGCTTAGAACCGAATCTGTACCAACAATATTTACCCATGATGACGTAAAATATAATTAGAAAAATTGAAAAAAAAATGGACGGCCTAGTTAAAGTTGGAAAATAGTAGTTTGCCGGGATTATTGACTAAGCCTAGACGCTTCACAATTAATATAATGGTTAATTTATTATTTAGTTGTTTATTTACCAAACAAATATTACAAATATACAATTTTTTTAACAAGAAGTATTCAGTAAAGACTACATTAACGCCCAAAAATATAATTTTTATTGCACAAAGTATTCACTAAAGGCTACCCAAAAATATAATGCGATTTCGGTAATGTTGAACCACATTAAATTATTTTGTAACAGCGAATGTTTTTTGCATTTGACCACGACTCATTCCTGTCTTCCTGGCAGACCACTTTCGGATCATCTTTAATGAGGGGTTTCAAATTGAACTTATTTGGAGAGGTTATGGCCCACGGCACATCAAACGTTACCTTGTAAACATCTTGATAATAATTAAGCGCCAAGAGCAACTCGCCCTCGGTACCCGTTGGTGAGTCTTTACGGCCACACGATCGAATGGTCACCGGATTATTTTTTGTGATTCTCAAACCATTCGGAGACGTTATCTCCTTACAATTTGGATCGGTCCATTTTCCATAATTTAATAATGCTTCGCGTACTTCCAAATAACTGTCGTCGTCGTTGTACGATACGGTAATGTGTATCCATTGCTTATGCGAAAAAGGTTCAATAGGTGTAACTGATTCATTGAAACGATTGGAGTCGGACGTCGTATCCACGTTTACGAGCGAACACCGAACGCTGGCTATAGCCAAAAACATAAAAATTAATCGGTACATGTTCGCGAAATTGCTTTATGAATTGTATGTAAAACAAGTGGGCACAGTCTGTGATTTGTAGTTAAACTGAATGTATAACTGTTGAATCGATCGAATATATACCACGAAATTGCCGGTTTCGTGGTACCTAATCGATTTTATATTTTGTCCCGGGCAAAGGTTATAAACGGCTAATTAATTTTTGCTCAAGTGGCAAAAAATAAAAATTAGTTTATCTAATCAATTTGTTGTTATTTTTACATTAAAAAATGTAGTAATTTACTCGACCGTCGTATGCATAAAGTGTTAATCTCACCGAATGTTGTTTAGGTCGACTCATCGAATTCAAGTTATTATAGTGATAGACATATAAATTCGGTCAGCCGTCGTATATAAAAGTGTGTAGCTACCGAATTTCCCTTATTTTAGTGAAAACGTAGACATTTGTTCGACCGTGATGTACAGAAGTGTGAATTTCTACATACCGAATTTATAAATTTTATTGCTAAAACAGATATTTTATTGACTATCGAATGTAATATATTTTAGTTCAAACGACCTACTTTATGTTATTTTAGTGAAAACGAAGAGACTTGTTAAATTGTTGTGTATAAAATTATGGATCTCGGACTTTTTATTTTTAACATAGTTTGACCTCATAACTATTAGGATACATATATATATAGTGTACTTTGCGTTTATATATATTTTTTCGAGAACAATTTTATGTGTTTTATTTGTCATTTTAGAAACGTTAAAATGCGATATGCAGCAACTTTTAAAAATATGTAATTCTACCTTCAATCTTTACTTTACCTTAATGGAAAAAAACGTCGATAATTAATCTATAAAATGTCACTGCAAAATTATAACATTCTTATTTAAATTACGTGTTTTAAAACGAAATTGATACGAATTCACTTTTTTTAATTTATAATCTAAATAAGATAATATGCAGTACTGTAAACAAACGGCCTCAATTTCTTATCAGTTCAAGACCGCAAAAATATAGTGGCCTCGATTCGTAATTGGGAATATCCTATCCATATTTTTATTATCAATGTAACGGCCTCGAATAAGTCATAGAATGTGCGCGCAGAGTACCCCGCTACAGCTTCATAAGTCGTCCGTCAGTGTATGTGTATTCCGCCGTCGCCATCACGCTGTCTCACCGCCGCCATCACGCTGGTTCATCGCCGCCATGCTGGACTGTACGCGTACCACGCTGGTTCACTGCCGCCATGCTGGACTGTACGCGTACCACGCCGTCGCCATCAGGCTGGTTCACCGCCGCCATGCTGGCCTGTACGCGTACCACGCTGGTTCACCGCCGCCATGTTGGCCTGTTCGCCTGTAGTGTTTTGCAATAAAGTTGAAGGTACTCGTGAGTCGTGTGTTAATAATAAAGGGTGTTTGTTTTACAACGATTTTATTTTTTTCTCCAATGCGCAAAAAGTAGGTGTAGAAACTTAAAAAAAAAAAACAATTTGCATAGTGTAACAACAACTATTGGTATCATATCGGCCTACACAACAAACAATAAATTGTTTTTCTAGTGAAATATTTTCGTATTCAAAACATTTGTACAAACGAGAACACTTACAACGACAACAACAGCAGAAAACACATAAACCATTTCTTTTAAAAGCAAATAAATATATTTTCAATTCAAACCTACGCGTCGATAAAATATCTTTTTATACTTCATAGTGCGAAAAGACCGTTTGTGAGTATCAGTAAGCAAATTTTCATTTCATAACAGGTTTCATACACGCCACGTTCATATTTTGAATTACAATGTTTTCAAAAAATATTGTACTACTTTTGTGTGTCTTGGGTCTTGTAGAGAAGAGTATTACCACAGGTCAAGTATATATGTCCAATACAGTGGATGGAGCTTCTATGGTGGTATGTATTTAAAAATCAGAAATACTTATAAGCTTGTAGTAAACATGACCAAAATAACATAAAAACCTATTGCATTAAAATATAGAAGGTAACAAATTTTCGATAGAGATTGACGATAGTTAAGATTATTGTATGGATAACGTTGTGAGCAGAGTGGTGCAAATTCTTATTCTATTAATTAAATTTGAAATTATTAGAGCATTTTTTTATGAATAATGTGTTATTTAGATAAAGTTTTATTCAAATGATGCAGCACTGTGACTTTAAGTTGTTTTTCATATTTCATCTAATTTTTCAAAAGATTTTAAAATTTTAAATTTTCAACTAGATTTATTGTCTGCTATAATGTGTAATCACAAAAGCGATTAATAAAAAAAATAAAAATTAATCGTTCATAATATTCTAGTATATAAATCCAAATCTGGATCAGTTGACAGACAAGGAATGGAAAACGATATTTAATGAGTACGACAGCGATCGTGATGGTTTTATCTCCTCAACAGAATTACAGAAACTAGTTTTTGACAAGTTCAAAGGATTCGTCACCGTTCACCAAGCAGAGTTATATATATATTTAATTAATAATAAAAATAATCCAATGTGCTACGAAAAATTCAAACAACAAAATCCAAAATTATTATCAAAAAGCAATAAAATAGGATGGAAACAGTTGAAAGATATGAAACCAATAATATTTGTTTTGTCACAGGTTTGTTCAGTTTTTTTATTGGTCCATTTTTAGAACTTTGTAGTTTTTCCTTATGAAAAAACTTTTTTTTAAATTTAATTGTGTAATATTTTAAATTATCCAAGCTTCGCAATTTTTCAGAAGTTCCAACTTTAGAAATTTGAATGGGAACGTAAATAGTGAACTAACATTTAAAGTTGAGAATAATTATCAAACATGTTTAATGGTCGATTCACCGGCACTCTAGAATTTTTTTAGTTTTGAAGTTTTCATTAATTTTCAACTCACCAACCATGAAAATTTTAAAAAAAATCCTATACATACTTCAACCAAATTATAAATTAAAAAAATCATCAAATGCGAACAAATTATGTATAATATATTGTGAACATTGACGATATAATACTTGAAAAATGTAAATTTTAATATTAACGTTGAATAGATTTTGAATATCTGAAGTACTATTTTTATGTAATAAGTTAAGAAAAGGAAAGATGAGGGTAAAGAAGAGTTAAACAGTTTAAAGTATTAGAACTTTTGTAACTTTAAAAGTAACTATCCAAAACTAATTATCGACCAGACAAAATTCTCAGCAAATTATTCCTAATTAAATAAGTTATTTAAGTATTTAAATTACCATTTAAGTGTCGACAATTGATAGAACACCAGGAAGAATACAAATTTGAGTGTGTCAAAATTTGTAAAGAACAATAACTAATGTGTCTCTAAAATTGACGTGTATTATCTTTAATGAATCATCATATATAATATTTGTTAGCATCTAAATCTTACCAAAAAAGTCATTATTAAACTGATATAATATGCGCTTCTTATATTTTTTTAGAGACATAGTGAAGAAGAGATTGACAAGCTGCTTCCAAATTACCAAATTTTTAGAGAAGCTTTCGTAGATATAATATGGAATTCTTTTAATAAACTGTTCCAACACAAAGAAGAAATTTTAGAAGTACTCAAAACTATTGGCCATAACGGTAGTAAAAACTTAACTATTTATTGAATTTTTTTTTTTTATTATCTACAAACTGTTTACAGAAAGTTTACCAATTGAATCGACGGAGTACCGAAAAATACTAAAAATGTTGGCGGCTACGGCAAGGGTAGGAAGTATTAATTTTAATATTATTTTTACTCTATCAGTATGATTAATCATACTACCAGGTGGAAAGATGATATTCAAATTCTGTCCCTGAAAAATTAACATTCGATAACTTTTTATTTATTATTTTAGCACTTAAATATTTTTATATTTAAGTATGTAGCCTATAGAGTAGATTTGTGTATAAATTTAATATTATCGTATAATGAATACGCATTTTGTCTTAAATCATATAACAATATAATAACGTGTTTCTTTAAACTTTTAGATGGCAAATATATACAAGAATTTTCGTTCAACAAACGGTAAATACTTAGATACAGCATTGTAGTGTACATTTTTATTGATTAATATTTAAATATTTCCAGACAAAGAAGATTTTTTTGAATATTTAAGTAAAAGTCCACTGTTTGGAGATCCATCTGGTACTCTAATAACTGAGAAAAATACTACACTCAGCAATAAATTCAAGGCATTATTTATTTGTTGAAACATTTAACGTTTTTGAGTATGTACTAATAATTTATAAAGTTTTTAGTAATTTTTTGTTTATTGCAAGCTAAAAACATATTTAAAAAATCTAAACTTGTTTCACATATTACAGTATATTTATCTAAATAAAATTAAGGAATTAACTATTTACAAAAATATTGCATTATAGACATTTTTATATTTAATTATTAATAGATTATTTAATGAATTTATATAACTGCTAAAGAATTAATAAATATGTGTAACAAAGTATTTGTTTGTATATTTTTCGATTTTTTTATTATACTTTGATGGATACAAATTGGCTCTTTCCTACACCTTGTAGCCTTATATTATGTTAATAACTTAAAAAGTTTATAATCAAACTTAATATTAAATCATTATATTATGACCTTAAAAGTAACCTAAAAATGTACTATTTTTTAACTTGAATATCGAAAGCAATTTTACAAGATTAATGCAGTACGGAAAGTTGCAGAAATCGGTTAATGTTGGTTTTAAACAATATGTCTTAGATTACTACGCCTATTAATTGTCGGAACATTATGGTCAACTTTACTTTATACTAGTGGAAAAACGTCGATATTGGATGTAAAAAATGTCTTAATTCTTAAAAATATTAATAAAAAAAAAAAAAATGATCAAATCATGACAATATTTGTATGGACATGTATTTAGAGTGATTCTAGTAAGTTTTGAGTACTAAAGTACAAGTTTTAGGTTTAAATTTTTTTTTTTCACTCAAGTTTTTTTTTGGCTGAGTATAATAATCGAGAACTGATGTAAAATTCGATACCAGCTACCCCAAAAACAATTTGACCATGTCCAAAATAATCATAAAAAATATGTGATATTCTCAGGACCAGTACACTTATTGGAATTTCTAAAGCCCTGTATTAGTCGACGTTAGGTGCACATTGTATCAAAATAATGTTTACTTACGTCTTTTGAACGTGAAAAAAAATTGTACATAAACCATCGTTATGAACATATTATTTTCATTTATGTAAACAGTGGAAATGGAAACGCACATCAAAATATCACACAGGTGTTATTTCTAAAGTAAAAAAACTGAGTTTTTGCTCGGTGTCACTTTTGAAACATATGCGCCGATGTGCGAAATCATACAAAAACGTCAAAAAGAGATTGGAGAGAATTAAATCAGGACGGTGAATTCATTTAAAAAAATAATCAACATCGGTATTTTTCTGACCAACTAAGTTAATAATCAGTTTATAACCACTTTTGGACAACTATTTTTGGAGTTATTGAAGTTTCAAGTTTAGGGCTGGAGGAAAGGTATTACTATAGTACTATTTTTATCTGCGCGCTTCTCCCAACCACACTTCTCCTCCCATCATAACTTTAATACTCTTATAGCTTAAAAGTAGTTGTCGAAAACCTGAAAATCAACCGGTCACCATTTTTAATACACTATTATAAATTAAAAAAGTTAATGAAACGTATAAGTTAACATTTAAGTTTCAAAAGTTGCAACTTATAGTTATAACTCGCAAATGTACAATATCTTCTAAGCTATATATTGGGCAAGATATGATGTATATGATATCCATACAACAAGTCCATACAAACTGAACACCTTGTAAACGCAAAGTATCGAAAACATGTCAACCATGTGTAAGCGCACCGCACGACTTTTTGTGCAAATAAGAACTTTATGTAAGCAACGACGGTTGTTATTTTACTGAAAATAAGATCGACACGTCTCACAAGTACATTGAAAGCCACATTTACAAGTTCGAGTAAGTAAAATCTTCACAACCGTCTTTTATCGAATTGATAGAATTGATTTTGGATCATATTTGTATAGACGGGGTGCTGTACTCAAAACACGGTGTCCAAATTTTATTCGGGAATCCCATGTATAGTCGGTAGCCGTTTTTGTGTATAGCCCTCGTATAGCTAATCTGTATATAATTCTAAAATTAACCGTGTTAGTGGCCAATAGAAATTAATTCCTATGTAATTTGTTATTTCACAGGTTGTTCTACAGCGTAGAGTTACAAAATGGCTGTATTGAAACCGTGGTATGTGATGTTGTTTTTTTTTATAACGCAATTTCTCTATCGGTCGTACGGTGACCAGGCGGATGAAATCGAGAAGTCCATAAACACATTGCTTAGCTTACAGGAGTTTGCTACCGGTTACCCGGATATCCCAAACCCATACGATCGTCAGAGTTTGAACGACTGGCCCCTACAAGATTTGCAGACACTAACAGACAAATTGAACAAACGACTGGAATGCGGATACCTTTACAGCACTCTGTTGCATTTAAATTCGACGAGAAAGTTAGTTTTGATGAACGCTAACAAGGCTGTCACATCGGAGAAGGTCGACGATTTTACGTTCGACAATGAGGCGACTATGATGAACGATTCGTTTGTGGATCCGAGCAACGACCGGATGGACGATCTATGGTCAATTTTCTTATGGGCCCGTCAAATGCACACTTTCTTCTATTCAATCATCAAAGACGGTACATGGGCGGTAGATGCTGCTATTTTAAAGAAAAAATTAGAATTGGACGAACGCTTGCATTCCGCAATAGCAAAGCGCATCAAACACATCAGGTGTAAACCCGATAACTGTTTCAATATGGAATTCGAAAAATGCGAACACCGGCAGCAAAATAAATGGTGTTTTTCATCCCTAAAAAAACCGAAACAATCGCCCGACGACCTGATGAACGCAATACGAAGAAACAAACAATTACTGCATAAACACTTCATCGAAAACCGGGCTAAACGATTAATGCGGTCCTCCACGTCTGAATCGCATCCGTTCGGCTCTTTGTGGCTGTTTCGCGACGAGGGAGCATTCAAATTGTTTTTTGAACAATTTTTGGCCACCGACTCGGTTCGTGTCGAAGTACGGTTTCCGGGATTGGATTCGGAAATGAACTTGACAGGAATCGATCCACTCGGAGAGTACCAGAACCAGGCGATCGGCATGTTGAAAATAATAGCGTTGCAAATAACAATTTCGTATACGAACCGACTTAGCGAATCCGGCAACTATCAAAGAGACGTAAACACTTTCGAAATTACTATCTTAAAAGAGTTTGATAGAGTAATGTCTTTGCATGACGACACGGATTTCAAAAACATTTACAAAAATTATGCAGTGTGTAACGATAATCTTGAACAATGCAAGTTATATCTTAAAGAAACCAGTGTCACAATGACTAGGAAGTATAAGGAAACATATCATTTACCCGAAATAAAATCGATAGTGACCGATAGCGACAGCTCCTTAGAAGAAGTTCGTGGAGTAGGCATAAAATTTGTCGATAAAATTCGAAAAGAGATAGGAGGAAATCCAATATGCATGGTGCAAATGTTTTTAAAAATAATCTTCGATACAGACTTATATTTCCTATTGCGTGGTTAAGTCTACGATTACATGGCATGTCACCAAATTGATTTAATTTAAAACTTTATTGAATGTAACATATATTATATAATCATAAAAAAATAATTATTCGTATTAATGCACTTTTGATTTATTTATAATGCACTTATCTTGGGGTTTTTTTTTGTTGGTTGTGGGAATATTAAAACAATCAAAAATAATATGTATGTAAAATACAATACAGCGTTTTATTTAATAATAATAAAAAACATTGTTCGTATTACAATTAAGGCACTTTTAATTTATTTATTAGCACCTACCTTTTTTATATGGGTTGTAGGAGTATAAAAATTGATAAAAAAAATATTTTTGTTGAAGAAAATATAGCGTTCTATTCAATATAAATCGGGCCAAGAACTTTGTAGATTAAACGTCATGAAAAAAACACTTGTGGCTTCCATCAGTCTTTTTGTCAAATCAACAAGACAATGTGAAAATAAAAATACGATTTATCGATATTTGTCGATTTGACGGTTTCAGTCGCCAAACGATAATACTGATTATTAACGCTACACATAAACTGCAAAACTTCTTTGACAAAAAAAATAGTTAATATCTAAAACCTTAAAAGAAACAATTAATTACTTTATGTTATAATCGTTTGTTATTAAAATTTATTCAGAGATGGCAAAGGAAAAAAAACAGTTTATAACTCAGAACTTACTTATATAATACAATACCATGATATACATGTAACTACTAACGTATTCAATAAACAGTTAGAAGGAATTTATATGCTAATTCTGTGTTTCAAGGTTATGTTTATAATATCCCCAACAAAAGATGGCGGTTACTTTCTAACCGCTGCTTAGTGTTGTATTAATTATATTGTTTGTACATTTTAAACGAAGATAAATGATGTAAGTTCTTTATATATTTATTCTACACAATACTATAATAATAACATATATATATATATAAATATATTAATTTGGTAGATTAAAAAGGCGTTAGTATATTGTTTTTCTACGCCACAAAAACTGTTAAATATTAAAAAATGATTTTCAAGTTGTAAAGGAACAACATTTGGTATTAAAGAAATAAACTTGTACAAATATTTTAAAAATAAAACATAATTTTCAACATTTAAGCTGGTTAATCATGAATACCAAACAAATCAACTATACATACTATCGCATTTAAAGCTACTATTTATTGTGATATTTATAATTAGACTATTATTATTATCACCTTTAACAACTGTTGTATTGATGTTCACAGAAATAATTTAATTTCAATTATCAATCATCGATTAAATTATTAATTATTACTTGTTTAGTTTTTTGTCAAAATAGATCATTTTTTTATTATAACGTTTTTATGAACTTACAATCTTGTTTGTCGTTCCGGGTGGAATCTTACAACTCAAATTTCAAGCACTTCCCTATTAGCTATCCGGCTGAAACTTTCAGGGTAGCTCACAATTCGATGACAATGCATTATTTATCCACAAGAGGTTGAAAATTCCACCCCTAAGGGGGTTGAAAATAAGGTCGATTTCTTGTCTGTCGTTCCGGGTGGAATTATGCAATTCAAAAAGACTTATTTCTCACCCGCCAGCAACGTGCGTTTGGGCGTGAACGGTGCTCGGATATGAGCGGTACCAGGTTCAAACCTGTTCCCATCATTACATTTTTTTGAATTTTCTTACAACTTTTATGATAATTT